ACCTTTCTCCAGACCACCAGGGGCTGTGGGTATCCCGATGCCTGGCAGGCTACCTGCAGGTCCTCCCCCAGGTTAGCAGTGAGCTCCGGGGGCTCCACGTTCACAGAGGGAGGAATGCAGATAAGGCTGCCACCAGATACTTCTAGTAGACTCTGAAGCGCCAGGCGTGGGGGCTCTGCACATGTGATCTTCTTGTCTCTGGAGCTCAGCAGCCGGCGGCCCCCCTCTTTGATCCAAGAGCCCAGCCAGTGAAGGGCACAGTCACATCGCCACGGGTTCTCTGTGTAGGGTGGAACACAGTCTAGGTAGATAGATAGTTCTGCTGATGCAGACAGGGGCCCTTTCCCACCTACAGATACCTATGGAGTCCCAGACCCTTGGTCTGGGAAGAGGAGTCCCACCTCTTCCCTCAGTCCAAGTTCCTAGGAGTGTGTGTGACCCCAGTTCCCGAAAGAGCATCTGCTTCTCTGATGTCCCATTGCAAGCCTCCAGGTCCTTGCATATTCCAGCATCACTGAGATCCTGTTGTCAAAGGCACTCTCCAGTTTCTGCCTGCCAGCTCTGATGAGAAGCTGCTATGGCCTCAGCTCTGTTAAGTTACTCTGTGGAACTGGTACTTGTCCTCCTTACTCGGGTGCATGAGCTGTTACTCTACCAGCTCTCCCTGGTGGTCCCTTACCAAGGCTGAGGGCTCTGGTGTGACCCTGCAGAGGAGTGCTCAAGGGTTGCCATAGTGAAGCGAGACAGAAAGGGAGAATTACAGGGACCCAGAAAGGGAGGCAAGTCTCCATAGGATCTGGCTGAGCTTCTCACCAGGTAAGATTAACCTTGGGTTGAAGATTGCAACCTAACAATATTCCTTTTAAATATAGAAGAATGTTAAAATGGCAGTGAGCCATACTTAAAGCCTAAGCATATACATGATCTTCAAGAATGACCTTACTCCTTTTGTAGGTAATTTCTGAGGGAATCACAGGACTAAACCTTTGTTTACAGTAAGGCCATCTTCGCTTGCAACCCTTGCTTCCTAGGAGTTTGCTCTATCAACTGTAACCCATCCAATGCAGAGGAACCACCCTTTGATCTCACTTAAGTTTTGATTGTTTGCTTTCCAGATGGGGTTTCTCTGTGTAGCCCTGCCTGTCCTGGAACTCGATTTGTATAGCAGGGTAGCCTCGAACTCAGAGATCCTCCTGCCTCTGTTTCCCGGGTGCTGGGACTAAAGGCGAGCGCCACCATACCCAACTCACTTAGGCTCTTTAACCATCCTTTGAGATGTAATTTCCAAAGCCGTCAAAACCAGATGCTAATGTCCCCTTTAATAAACTCCAACTCAGTTACATCTTGGCTTATTCTGAATTCTTTTCTGCAGTGAAGTTAAGAACCTGGTTCTGCCTGAGTCAGGCTCTGTAAAAAATTAAGAGAACTCCCCGGGCTGATGTGGCCACAGTGTGGAGTGTTCTCTGTTCCTACCATAGCTGACAATAGGAACCTCCTGTATACCTGAGCCTGCTTCTCCCAACTGGTGCTAGAAGAGACCCTTGCCAAAGGAAGTGTTACCTGTGAGGCGCAGGACTTGTAGGCTGCTCAGAGGCTGCAGGGCCTCTCTGCTGATGGTGCCCAGTTGGTTCCTGCTGAGGTCCAGCAGGGCCAAGGAGGAAAGCCCAGCCAGGGCCTGGTCCTCCAGTAACTCAATGCTGTTTTCTTGAAGATGCAGCTCCTGCAGTCGCTGAAGTAGGGACAGCAGATCGTCAGGCAAAAGGGCCCTGGGAAGCTCGACAATATTGACTTCTCTCCCCCAACCACTCCCACCAGTAGTGCGTTTATTGACATCACTGCAAGATCCCGCACTTAGGGCAGTTCTCGCTCACCGGCAGGTGCAAGAAGGTGAAATCCAGCAGCTTCGCCAGCTGGTTTCCAGCCAGGTAAAGCACGCGTAGCTGGACCAAGCCCACAAATGCACCGCCTCGCAATCCCCGAAGCCGGTTGCCGGTGAGCGCCAGTTCAAGCAAGCGCGGCTGTGCGCGGAAGGCACCCGACTCCAGCGCCCGCAGGGTATTGTTGTGCAGGTAGAGGTGGCGCAGGGCAGCGAGAGGCGCCAGGGCGCCTTGCTCCAGATGCGCAATGCTGTTGTCTTGCAGAAACAGCGTCTGAAAGGTTGTGGGGACGAGAGGATTACTTCACTGTGGGGCAAGTCCCACTCCCGTGGCGTGTCCCATCCCACTTGCCTACCTCAGCACCCTAGTGACCTTCCACCTCACCTCTGAGGCTCACACAATCTTTTCCATTGCGCTGGGCACTTATAACCCACTACTCCAATCCAAGACCCTCCAGTCCCACATAGTGCCCACCTGCGTCCCTGGGGGGATTCCCGGTGGGACGACACGCAACCGTAGGGCGCCGCACTCCACAGTGGCGCTGTAGCAGCGGCAGGCGGCGGGACAGCCAGTGGCTCGGGGCGGGAATCCGGGCAGCAGCGGCAGCAACAGGAGTCCCAGCAGAAGCAGCACCGGGGGAGCCCCTGGGTTCATTTCCGAAGAGCTCCACCAGGAAGCTGTGGCTTCCCCAAGGCCTGGACCCTGATGGGATGCGCCTCCTGAAACAGGTAGGCAGGCCAGTGCTAACATTATTCAGCCCGCGCATGAGCAGGAATGTAATGCCAGGCATTATGGTGGGTCATGCTCTTAATCGCAACACTGGGGAGGCTGAAGCAGCAGGATTGCAGTGAATTCAAGGTTAGGTCTAAGCAATATGTTCCAGGCCAGTCTGGCTGAACTGCGGTGAGACTTCGTCTCAAAATACAAAAGTAAGAAACAACCAATTAACATGGATGGAAGTCTACATACAATCCTTGTGTAACTTTTGAAAAGTTACAAACAGCACTCAGGAGGCAGAGGAAGGCGGATCTCTCTGAGTTGAGGCCAGACTGGTTTACACAGTTCTAGGTGGATCAAGGCTCCATAGTGAGACACTGTTTTAAAAAAAAAAGCCTAACTTCTTCTCTTGGTAAAACTTGTATAGAGGGCAGGCAAGATGGCTACACAAGTGAAGGCACGTGCCTGGCCAGCCTGGTGGAAGACGAGAATTGACTCTGCCAAGATCTTTTTTGACCTCCATGGGCTTGAGGGTCCTCCACTTCTGACCCATGCATGCAAACAATGCTTTTTAAAAGGAAAACAGAACAAACCGAGACTCCTTCCTTGAAGGTCTCTGCCTCGCACTAGCGTTCCTCCTGTGCCTGCACTGTCCTGCTCGGCACTGGCACCACGCGGGTTCTTCTTCACCCAGATGATGGGCTGGAATTGCTTAGGCCAAGTCGAGGGTCTAACTACCCAAGCCTCGACCAAAAAGGGCAGGCTCTGAGCAGACATGCCCCCTTGGTCTCACTCAGTGGCTGCTGGCACCAGCATACAGTTCGGCACTGAGCAGAAACTTTTGTGCCCCATCACAAGAGCAAAGGCTCCACCTTACGGTTCATTTGTCATGATTGGTGATGCTTGGTGCAGCCTGTGACCCTCCTGTTGTAGGGATGGAGGTGGGTGGACAGTTTAAGACTTAGGATTTTTCCTCAGGTAACTCATACGGCTTATTTCCTTTTAAATAAATAGGGTCTAGTGTGTTTCTCTGGTTGGCCTGGAATTCATCATGTGGACCACAATGGCCTCCAAACCCAGAGTGCTGACTCTAAAGGCCTGTGTCACTAGGCCCAGCTTACTTCTAATTTTTTTCTTTTTCAAAAATTTTTTCATTTAAATTTACTTACTTTACATGTATGAGTGTTTTACCTGCAAGTATGTGTGTGCATCTCATGCATGCCTGGTGCCCTCAAGTCTAATGGGCATCAGATCCCCTGGAACTGGAGTTAGGATGGTTCTGAGCATATATGTGCTAGGAATCAAATCTGGGTCTTCTGGAAGAGCAGCCAGTGCTCTTAACCACCACCCCCCCCCTTGAGACACAGGGTCTTTCTCTATATATGGCCCTGACTGTCTTGGAACTCTCTATGTAAACCAGGCTGGCCTTGAACTCATAGAGATCCATCTACCTCCGCCTCTCAAGTACTGGGATTAAAGAGCTGACCAACTACACCTGGCTGTTACTTGTAATTTTTTTTTTCCCTTGGAGTCAGGGTTTCTCTGTGTAACAGGACTGTCCTGGAACTCGCTCTGTGGCCAAGACTGGCATTGAACTCACAGAGATCTGCTTGCCTCTGTCTCCTGAATGGTGCTGAGATCAAAGGCATGCACCACCACCACCTGGCACTACTAATTTTTTTTTGAGTCAGAGTCTTGCTATATAGCCTATGTTATACTTGAACTTGAGATACTATTGCTCATGCTCCCAAGAGGCAAATGAACAGGTGTGCATTATCACACCTAGCTTTCTCAGATAATTCTCTAGAGAACTGAGGGATAAGCCAAACAGGAGAATCAGTTCAGAGGCCCAGAGCCTATGCCCCATCCCAAGCTGGTCCCAGGGGGCCTCTATCTTTGGAGTATTAGTGTGTCCTAGCTGGGATGTGGGAGGAAGCCTTAGGCTACCAACTGCTTCCCCCCTTTCCCTCTTCCTTCTGGGAACTGATCTCGGTATCTCCTGCACACTAAGCACAGACTTAAGCACACAACATACTAGTGAGTTATACTCCTATCGTACCGACTGGGTATCTAGCAGTGACCTCCGAAACTGTCGGGAAGGGCATTCTATAGTAGTTTACAAAATGTATCTGTGACCTAGGCACAGAAGGACTAGGGTAGGGTTCTGGGCACAATGCTCAGTTTTAACGGTAGTGCCAAGGCAGAGAAGCCCGCTTTTCTAAAGTTAAGGAGGACAGGAGCACAGGTGCACTGTTTTCCTCATTTGGTACAGTCTACCGTTTTCGCACCTGCTTATTCTCTAGGTCTCCTTGCTGCGCGTCAAGTTGAACTGTACTAAGTGGCCTTGGTGTTTGTTTCAATTTTGCACCAATCGTAAGTCACTTGGTCATTTAAAGTCAACAGAGATGAGGCAGGAGAGCAGTAGAGTTTTAATGGAATAGCTTTGGCGCAGGCAAAGGCAGTTCCTAGATATCTCAGGACATGCGGAGCCCAAGAAGCTGGGACGTTTGCTAGGCTTCTGGGTTTAATTTCCTGGAGCACGAATGACTGGTTGGTCCCTGGCTCCAGGCCTTGCGCATCTGTCCAGCCTTCAGTAGCAAAGCCTTGATCTGTGCACTAGGGATCAGAGCTGCTGCTCATGCGGACTCCCAGATGTGCATCAGCCACGACAGGAATGAGGGCCCCTTACTAGATAAGCCCAGAAATCCTTTTATCAGGACACAAACCCCTAATCCTATGCAGGAGTGGGGTGTCAGTCTGCTGAGGGCTCATCTAGGCGGGAAGAAGGTGGGTGGAGTGTCCCTCCCTCGGGCGGGCGCAGTGCGAAGCCCCAGCTGAGGTCCTGGCAGCCCTTGAGATCAGAGGCGCTTTAAACCAGCACTACCTCCCCTAACCTAGCCCTCCCGCTCCAGTGGGTCCAAGCCTGCTCACAGAGGGCGTGGTTTCCACCCCCCCCCCATCCCCGCTGCCAGAGAGCCTGACCTTTACTTGGTAGCAGTCAGAACCTAAAGGATCCCGATCCCGCCCCCAAGCCTGGTGACCTTGGGCCCGGAACCCCCCCCCCCTCACCTGCTCCAGTGGCGAGCGACTCCCCGCGGTGCTTGCGGCTGCTAGACTGGAGAAGCGGCGGGGGGTGGGGGTGGGCGCGCACGCGCACCGGCCCACGCGCGCCTTGCGCCTGCCGCCCAGCCTGACGTGACCAGAGCAGGCCAATCCGTGGGATGCAAGACCAGTTGTAAGGGTTAGAGGTGGCGGAGAGGGGACCGCTGTAGAGACCGAGAATAGCCGGACCGCACCAGAACCTTGGACAGCGCCAACCTAACGAGGCCCAAGGCGCACCTCTGCGCGCACGCGCACTCAGTCACAGGCGTGCAGGTGACTGGGGACATTTGGGTCGACCTGGAAGTCTGGGACCGAAGGGTAACCTGCGAGTACTACAAAGCCCAGTGTTTGCCCTAAACCTCCCCACCCAGCCCCGGCTGGAGGCTCAGGGCGGCGGGGCGGCGAGCAGCAGCGGGGCCAGATCCATAGTTAGGGCGATGCGGCGACCTTGCCAGTGCACGTGAGAGGGGACCGTGGGTGATTCAGGTCCGTACTCGAAGCAGGCGCTGAGCTCGAAGGCCAGGGCCGAGCGCACTAGGCCGACGCCGCCTGCGCGCTCCGGTGCCGGGTGGTACAGGCGCCCGTTGGCCGCCAGGGGTAGCAAGCGAGCCGGCTCAAAGGGGATGGCCAGGGCCTCGCCGCCGCCGCAGTAGGAGAGGCGAGGGGACTCGCTATCGGGGGCCAGCAGGTGCGTGAAGACCACGGGCCGGTCTTCACAGCGCAGGAAGTTACGCTCTCTGCCGCAGAGAGAGAGGAAGGGGAAGGAAGCCTCATAGCGCCCGCTGTGGTTCGGTCTCAGACGGGAGAAGAAAGTAACCAGGAACTGCAGGTCTGTGGGAAGAAAAAGTCGCGACTGTTCTCGCTGGTGCCGTAGCTCCCCAGACAGGCTCTCCTTCCTGGGGCACACAGGCACTGGCGTGAGACTGCCGGTTCCCTTGGGGCTGGGGGCTGCCCGCGGAGTCGGGGAGCTGGAGACCTGGCAGGGCGGAGGGAGAGAGGCTTGCGGGAGCTGCGCAGCAAGCAATACCTTTGTAGCAGGTGATAAAGTTCTTCATTTTGGAGTCATCCAGGAAAAGCTGCGGACAGAAGGGACAGACAGTGGACAGTAAATCCCGAACAGAAAGCCCCAAGCCCAGTGTTGTGTCGCTATTCTTGCTTTTTCTGTGTACCGTGTTCGAGGGGGCATGTGTCAGGGCCCCGCAGACTTCGTTCACGCCCACATACAGGTTTCCCGTGCGGCGGCCCCCTAGCCCCCCTTCTAAAGCAGGCTTGCCTGCTGCTGGGCTCCAGCAGTCGCGAGCCTTCAGCTCTGGGATTGGTTCTTGCAGGCTGAGGGTGGGGCAGGATGGCGAAGCCGTGGAGGAGGCAGCCTCTGGGCTTCCCGGCTCCCAGCCTGGGCTTTGAAAGTCAGGTCTAACACCACACGTAGCACCTATCCCTAGGTTTCGGCTCTAGAACTCTTCCCCGCCCGAGGCAGCTCCCTTAGGACTCCTCCCTGGCATGCTCCAGGCACACCTGGCCCTGGTGATCCACGTAGTAGAAATACTCGCGGGTTCTGGGCTCCGGGCTTTGACCCTGTGTGTAGGAGACACGTTCGTCCCCACTGCAGGTCCGAGCTCCCTGCGATCTCGCCAAGGCTAGAGCCAAGTTACGCAGTGACCTGCAAGGCGGCCACATCCTTCCACACCGGAAACAGGTCACACACCGGGCGCTGCGCCTGGTGCTTGGGGTTCCGCCGGCAGCACGTGCTCGGCAGACGCCCCGCCCCCGGAAGGAGGCACGCTGTGTGGCCTCCCGCCCCCCACCCTTCACCGCACCCGAAGTAACCCGAGGCACAAGCAACCAGAGTGTGCATTTGAACTTTATTCACACGGAGCGCTGTCGCCTCTGTCCACACGTCGGAGGGAGCGCCTGCAGCCGGGCCGCCGGAGAGATCCAGGACCCGCCCTAGAGGGCTGCAGGCCTCGGCAGGGCGGGACTTTTGTTTTTAATAAATAAAAACAACTCTAAAAATATATATATATATATAAACGGGAGAAATGAAGTTTGACAACTGTTGGAAGTCAGATTCCAGAATGGAAAAAGCGGACGAGTCCAGGTCCCATCCGCACGCCGCCCGGGTGTAGTAGTTTGGTCAGAGGCCGCGAGGTCAAAAGGTGGTGCTAACTTGCTCAGCGCGAGGACGGCAATGGCAGTTCAAGAGATAAATAGCATCTGGTTAAAACTATGTCCTTAGCAAACTTAGTTCTGACATCTGTCGTTCTATTTATATCTTTATACACAAGTAGGCTGGGTGCGGGTTAGATTCTGGACTCACAACAAAAACAACCCTCCCAAAACAAACAAACAAATAAAAAACCTCTCGCCCTCCCCCACCCGCCCCAAGAACGCCTACCTAGCCCTGGCCCCACTCCACAGGGCTTTGGTGTGGGGTCTCCCCTTGCACAGACCTTGGGCCATCAGGACCAAAGGCATTGGGACGACAGGACCGTGTCCTAGTGGTGGCTAGCACAGCACTCTAGAGTGCCTCTAAGTCTCCTTCAGGCCCCAGCTAGAGGCCCCTAGACTAGGGTAGGAGGGATCAAGGCGAGTGCCTTGGTGGCAGACTGCCCTGGAGAGGGGGACGAGGTCGTGTTGCCCTGAGCAACGCGGCATGTGCTTCGGCCGACCAGGAGGGCAGTGTCGCTCGGCTCCGGCAAACAGAAGGCACTTCTCGTGGCTGGCCTGCGGTCGGCGGGGCGCGGGGCGAGCCGGAGCCCACAGGAACTGGCCGCGAGATATGGCGGGCTGCTTTGCCCAGGAGGGTCTGGGGGCGGGGCAGGGCGGGCGTCTGGCGGGGCTTTGGCATGCTGCCTCGCCGCTGGGGTCTTCCCTCCCACCTCCCTGGGTGTCACCCTGGCCGGTGTCCATAGCCCGCGTGCTATAGCACGCCTTCCATGAAGCTGGTATCTAGATGCTGAATGAGCACTCTCAGAAAGGACATCTCCTTTCGCGTGTTCTCGAAGATGACGCGTGGGTCATCAGACTGACAGCGCAGGCAGTTGGGTGCCATCACCATGGCCAGGTTGCTGACGTCCATTTTGGTTATGGCTACGTTGGCTGGCTGCACGAACACCTAAGTGGGGGGGGAGCAGAGTAGGGAGAGGAGAGCGGAGTGGAGGGTGGGCGTGGCTATTAAGGGGTTGGTGGGGAAGGTGGGTTGGGTAGGGTGAAAGGTGGGCATTGGCGTGGCATTAGGTGCAGAGCAAACGTACCTGGAGGAAGCGAATGAGGTAGCACAGCACCATACGGTTGATGCGCGGTAACGCATGCACCACGGCCACTGCAGCCTCCGGGCTCTCGTAGTGCGCAATGCATTGTTCGTAGAATTCGTGAGGAATCAAGGGCTCCTCCAGCTCCCGATACCACAGCTTCAGCAGCGATGCTGAGGGTGGGAGTGACTTAGATGGTGTTGGTCTGGGGGCCCCTAAGTCAAGCATCCACCAGAGGCCACATCCAGAGACATAGGGTGTGTGCACTATGTGCGAGGGTATGGAGCAGGCTGTTGAGACTGAGCCCAGATCCCAGAGACGCTAGCTGCTGGAGAACCTGAGATCAATCTTTGTGGTATAGGTGTGTGTCCACAATGACTATCAAATAGAATTTCTCAGAAGGGTTGTGCTCACAAGGAGCTGTCTAAAAATGCCCCAGGAACTATGGGCTGGGCTGCTCTGGAGGGGCAGAACCCTGGGTAGACCAAGAACACTGATAGGTTCAGTGGGTGGGAGGATGTCTAGAAGTGATGGGGAGACACCACTTCACTAAGAAATAGGTTCCAGGGGGTGAAAGAGGATGGTGAGATGTAGCCACAGAAGGACAGAGGGACAGGGCCATAGTGTGATCCTGGGGTGGATGATTGGACAGGGCCAACACCTACCCAGCTGTTAAGTATGTCTGGGGCTCACCAGGGACGTGGGGGTCCTCCAGGCCTGTAGGTACCTTCCACTGATCCACCTGCAACTTCAGGGCATTCACCTCATCAATGTCACCAGGGACCCTAGAGAGTATAGCCAAGACTCAGACTAGAGGAAATCATCTCGCCCAAGTGCTGGAGTTTAGAGTGGCAGAAAGCTTCAAGGTCCCACCAACCCGATTCTCTCATGTAGGGTGGGGTGACTTAGGACCTTGTTGCTCTTTAGGGGGTATCCTGCTCCATGCATTTGGGTCAGTGGTGTGGGATTCTCCTGGGGCCATTCTTCCTTCATGGACTCTGATGGCTTCTCTGTGTAGCTGTCTCCCTCTGCAGGCCACTAAAGCAGAAACTTGCAGCCCCTGGCTTCTCTACTTATCTTCTGGGGACTTGGGCATCCTTGATCCTGACAGGCAAGTCATTACACTGGTTGATACTGCACGGTCTCGCACATCCCTGTTCACACAGGATGATGAACTGGTGATGGTGAGCTGCCTGGCCAGCTGCAAGTCGTCTCTAAGGCTCTTGTCATAGGTGATGTCCTTGCTGTTCTTGATGGACCTGTTGGCTGTCTCTGTTGGCCATGCTGCTATTTTGGGGGGTAACAGTCAACTTGCCTCCTCTGGATGGGACACTGTCTTGTCCCTTTTGGCTAAATGGCCTCTAGGCTTTATGGTCCCTGATATTAGAAATATATAGTGAACACACACCTGTGCTCCCTTTCCCCACCCACAATCTGGGGTTGGTAAGGCACCTGAAGATACCCTCCGTCTGGTCACCGTTGAGTGCCAGCACCTCCTCGGAGAGCCGTGTCTGTACCCAGGGCAGCTGCCTGTCAGGATAGCGCTCTTTCTGCATGCTCATCACCTCCTGCAGTGCACTGCCAAACATAGATGGGCTGAACACTGCGTTCTTGGCATGTCGGATTTCCTCCACATTAGGCTTCTTCAGGCCCTGTAAAAACAGCTCAGCACTCAGGTCCTGTTGCAGTTCAGCCTCCTTCTTTCATCTCTTCTTCCTCACTCTGGGTCCTGGCCCAACAAGAACCACAGACAACCCAGACCCTAACCCAAGTCAATAGAGGCGTCTCCCATCAAACCACTTGCAACACTCCAAACCACAGATATGCAGAAAGGTGGAGGGGTGAGGGTCTCCAGCACAGGCTTGCATATGGCAATGCCTGTCGGCTGCATTTCACCATGCCAGTTGGAATTCTTAGGGACAGTGCAGCCAGGATGCTATTCCCAGGCTCGAGGAGGCGGGGTATGGGCAGGTGGGTAGAGCACCTTACTTGGGAAGGCTACCTGATGCCTTGTCTAGTATGTGTACCCGTTTGCATTGCTCTCAGTTGGAGGCCCAGGCATGGTCAGGGGCCCTTGAAGGGCAAGAGACCATGGGAAGCACAGGTGCAAGCCTTCCTATCCAGGCTGGGGCTCTCCGCAGCCAGCCAGTGCTCCACTGAGTCTTACTGCCCTTCCATCAGGTCTGCGTGTGGACTGCAGGAGAGCCATTTACCCTACCCTACTTCTCCCAGGAGTGTTTGTACCTTCTTGGCCCCAGTCAGGGCTGCCTTCTGAAGTTTGTGGTAACAGTACTTCGCATAGGTGCTTATTGCCACCCCTGGAAGAGAAAGGGTGGCAGTCAACCTGGGGTGGACATTTGGGACACGGGGACTCAGAAAAGCAACTATAAGGGTTCTGGGATGCGGCCAACTTCTTACCCACCCCTGAGCTACATAGCAGCCCATATTCTCTCACAGGCAGTCCTTTAGAGCAGAGACCCAAGAGGAGAGGCAAGAGACACTCCCCCCATCTCTAGAAGCTAGGGTAGGAGAAATCCCTCTGCCAGCCTTCCTATATCCACCTAGGAAGAACAGGGGAACAAAGAGCACACCCTGAGTCCAAGGCTTTCAAACCCCACTTCCTTTCCTCCTTAGGTGACCCTAGCAAGACCTTTGGTTTTCCCTGGTCCCAGGGGAAGAGGCTTCTGGATGAAGCATTTGGTGCCTTTGGTCAGCACTGGGGCAAAGGCAGTTCTTCAGCAGCTCTGGCTTCCTTAGGGAGGGAGTGAAGTTGGGAGCAGAGTGTCAGGGAGAGAGTGGCCGAAGCTTGGCTCTTAGTGAAAGACAGCTTGCAGAAGATGTCAGTGTTCTGTGCCAGCGTTCTATCTAACCAGCGGGTAAGATAACGACAGGGCTGAAGGCCTGGCCTCCTCTCTCAAGGTAGGGAGCTTTCTGGAACTCATGCCTTGCAGCAGAGCTAGTGACACTGGAGTGTTGGTTCAGTCAAGTGTCTCCAACCTGTCCCAGCAAATAAGGATGGAGGCAGATGACAGAACATGCCAGGAAGTGTCATGGACAGACACCAGCTGCATGCTTCTGGAAAATGGACACCCCTTCCCTGGAAGGTTCTGCCTCTACTACCCGCAGCTGTGAAGTCTGTGATTGGGAGTACCTTTGACTTTGAAAGGAGACAGTTTCTTATGGACATCTGAGGTCTTGGAGAGGTCCTTAGATCCCCAACTTTATATACATGTGTGTGACATGGAACACACACATATATAAGATATATACATATACTTATTATATATAAGTATATAAGTATACTTATCCCACAAGTATATTATGGTCCATGAGAACCTTTATCACAAAAGTTTTATTCACATATGTAAAATGGTTCTTTTCTAATCAAAATAATTATAAATCTCTCAGACATTTAAGTTTTGGACAATCTGCCCCAGGTCCCAAGTGATCCACAGACTCTGGCAGAT